GATCTTGAACCATCGACTTTGTGGTACAAACCAACTCTTCAGTCCAGCTCATTATCCCACAGCGTCATGTATAAATCTGTGTAAAAACCACGGAGCCAAGAAACAGAATTATTCCATTACCAAAAAAATATAGTCCTCATGTTGTTGCTGTTGTTAGGTGATGTTGAATCCGCTCCAACATCAACCATTTCCACAAGACAAAGAAACCCTGCCTGGTCCTGAATCATCTTCACAATTCCTCGGTCTGAGGCCATCGTTGATGTCACTGTGTGAATCCATTTCATTGGGGGTCTTCATTTTCCTTGATCCTGTACCTTACCAAGCTGGATACACTTTTCCAAGGACTGGTCCCTTCGGATAACATGTTCAAAGTTGGTGAGACAAAGTCTTGCCGTCTTCGCTTCTGAGGGCATTCTGACAGTAGCACTTCTTCCAAGACTGATTTGTTTGTTCTTCTGACAGTTCATGATACTTTCAATATTTTTTTTTTACCAACATCATAATTCAAAGACATTTCCTTTTGGTACAGTAACTCTGTGTATTCCTTTCATCTTCTCTTGATGCTTTTTGCATTATTCAATAATTTGCCCAGAGAATCTTTTAATAACAAAAGTTGAGGCTTGAATTTTTTCTTCAGTTCCCCCAGCTTGAGAAATGCTGAGTGTGTTCTTCCTTTTGGTTTTCTGATGTTTGCACATTTTATTGTAATATTTTGCTTTATCTTCTCCAGCTGATCTTTGAAATTTTCTGTTCAACCCTTGGACCTCCTCGTTTCTTCCATTTGCTTTAGCATCTCTACGCTGGAAAGCAAGTTTCAGTGTCTCTTCTGACATTCATTTTCACCTTTTCCTTCTTTCTTGTCTTCTCAATGACTTTTTGCTTTCTTCACGTATGATATTCTTGATGTCATCCCACAACTCTTCTGGTCTTTAGTTTTTAGTGTTTAATGTATCAAATATCAAATCTGTTCTTCAGATGATTTCTAAATTCAGAGGGTATATATTCGAGGTCATATTTGGCTCTGTGGACTTGTTTTTATTTTCTTCAGTTTCAGTTTGAATTTGCATATGAATAATTGATGGTCTGTTCCACAGTCTGCCCCTGGCCTTGTTTTCACTGATGATATGGAGTTTTTCCATTGTCTCTTTCCACAGATGTAGTCAATTTGATTTCCATGTATTCCACCTGGTGAGGCCCATGTGTATAGTCATTTCTTATGCTATCTAAAGAAGGTGTTTGAAATGAACAAATCATTGGTTTTGCAGAATTCTATCATGCGTTCTCCAGCATCATTTCTATCACCGAGGCCATATTTTCCAACTACTGATCCTTCCTCTTTGCTCCCAACCTTTGCATTCCAATCGCTAGTAATGATCATACACCTTGATTGCATGTTTGATAGATTTCAGATTGAAGACGTTGATAGAATTCTTCTATTTCATCTTCACTAGCTTTAGTGGTTGGTGCGTAAATTTGAATAATAGTGGTATTAACTGGACTTCCCTGTAGGTGCATGGATATTATCCTGTCACAGACAGCATTGTACCTCATGACTGATCTAGATATGTTCTTTTTGATGATGAATGCAACACCATTCCTCTTCAATTTGTCATTCCTGGCATAGTAAACCATGTGGTTGTCAGATTCAAAATGGCCAATACCAATCCATTTCAGCTCACTAATGCCTAAGATATTGATGTTTATGTGTTCCACTTCATTTTTGACAACTTCCAAGTTTCCCAGATTCATACTTCATACATTCCATGTTCCAATTTTCAATGGATGTTTACAGCTGTTTACAGCATTTTGAGTTGTGCCCATAAGCAAATGAAGGTCCCCTGGGCTTTTCTCCCATGAGCTGTACTCCATTCACATTATCATGGTCAACTGTACTTTGAGGAGGCAGCTCTTCCCCAGTTGCATTTTGAGTGCCTTCCAACCTGAGGGGCTCATTTTCTGGCACTAGACCTGACAGTGTTTCTCTGCTATTCATAAGGTTTTCAGTGACTAAAGATTCGGAAGTAGTTTGTCACTCCTTCTTCCTAGTCTGTCTTTGTCTGGAAGCTCATGTGAAACCTGTCCACCATGGGTGATCCTGCTGGTATTTAAAATACCAGTGGCATAGCTTTGAATCACAGCAACTCACAAACCTCTTTTCTCCACTCCCTCAATCATGATGCTACTAGCTTAACCTCAGAATCACAGAGGGCAGGAGGTGTGGTCAAGGAGGGTGAAACCAAACACCAGAGACTGCAAGATACTTCCTCCTTTCCCTCAGATGCTGCCAGTGTCCCTGCAGAGGGAAGACGTGGGGAAACAGGTAAAACATTTTGTTTCCTTTTGTATTCAGCAAGGGAACACAGAGCAGCTGCTTTGTGCTGGGTGCAATCATCAGGCTGGGAGCACAATGGTGGCCTCCTTTCTTTTCTTTTGCCTCTATTGAAACAGGCTGAGGAGCTCTGGTAGCGTAGTGGTTACGAGTCAGGCTGCTAACCTCAAGGCCAGCAGTTTGAAACTATCAGCTGTTCTGCAGGAGAGAGATGAGACTTTCTGCTCCCGTAAAGATTTAGAGCCTCAGAAACCCAAAAAGGGTCGCTAGGAGTCGGAACCATGGCACATAACCACCACCACAACAGGCTAGAACCTAGGCTTTGGACATCCCTCTTGCCAGACTTGACATGTCTTGTGAGAGCAGCATGGCCCTCTAGATGCCTGGGAGGGAAGAATGGAGTCAGGAAACTGGTTTGAGGTCTTGCAAAACCCTACTGAGTCCTTTGGTGAGCAGGCCACAAGTCTGGACAACCTGGCCTTGCTCTGAGCCTTCGCGCTCAGTGACTATCATCCCCTGCCTCCACAGCCCAACCTGCCTCCTCAGCCTTTTAATTCCTAGTCCAAGGGTTCTACTTCATACTCTCCAGAGACTATCTGAGAAGCAAACAGGAAGCCCCATTTTGATAAACATTCCTTTCCCACTCATTCTGGGGTCCTGGTGTTGTTAGAAGGGCAGGGTTTGCCACTAAAAATGGAATCCAAACTTTGCCACAGTCCTGTGGAAGCCCCAAAGTGCATCCCTCAGAACACTGTCCCTGCAAAGTGATTCTGTGGCATTCTAGGCCAGCCCCCATATTTGGAAATGTATGTTGTATACAAGAGCTAATTAAGGGGTTTGAAAAGTACATTAAGAGTTCTCTTTAACCTTGAAACCTGCTCTTCTAAATGGATGTGGTTTGGAAGACTTTCTTTTGTGTGTGCGTAACATTATTAGCAGCTGCGGAACCCATATCAATCTGTCTGGAGAATATGTCCCAGTTTCAGACCCTTACCCCTAATTCATGCCCATACCAGAAAATGCCAGCCCATATGCCTTGGGGCAGAACCCTGTTTCCTGCTTTCAGAAAGCCATGTAGCTTCTCCCGTACCCCCAACTTGGTACTGGTCAATGAACGGTTCTTGTCATGAGCCACGGAGATGGAGGAAATTGATAGCAAAGTGTGGGGGTGGCATTGATTCATGGGAAATGTTGGAGGTGCCGATGGGAGGGGCTTGGGTCAGTGCTGAGACAGGAGACACACTCCATTGGCACATCCTGTTAGCTCCCGGGGGACTGGCACAGAAAGCACAACCATGTAAATTGGGACTTAAATTTAACTCTATGTAAATTTAACTCTGTGAAGAGAGCTCCTGATGATGCTGTGGTTAAGCATTCAGCTGCTACTGGAAGGTGGGCGGTTTGAACCCCAAAAAAGAAAGATGACAGTCGACTTTCATAAAGATTAAAACTAAAATCAAACCCATTGCTGTCAAATTGCTGCCAACAAGAAGCTCTGGTAGCGTAGTGGTTACGAATCGGGCTGCGAACCTTAAGGTCAGCAGTTCGAAACTACCAGCTGTTCCATGGGAGAAAGATGAGGCTTTCTGCT